GCTAGTGCACAGTGTGGAAAATGCTGCCGCACACGCTGCAGAGAACTCGGGATGCCGAGGAAAATCAGTGCCAGCCCATGCTCCCAGAGGGGAGGGTAGACGGTGAGGCTGGAAATGGTCCCTGAGAACATGGAAGGCCAGGGAAGATCGGAGGATGGGGAGTGAAGGAGGCTGAAGGGAGCGAGGGGCCACCAGGTTGAGGAACTGGTGACTGGAGCCTTGAGGGGGCCTGAGATGAGACTGAGCAGATGCGATTTTTACAAAGACCCCTGTGCTGAGTGTGGAAGGAGGGCTGGAGGAGAGACCTGACGCAGGGCAAATGTGGGCTTTGGGACCCGACTGCCTGATTAGATTCTTGTTCTAGGGGAAGTTGCTCAGTCGCTGTGTTTGTGCATCTGAAAGTGGAAATGACAGTGCATGAAATGAGTTAATATGTGTAAAGTCCCTACAATGGTGTGCCTGGTGACTAGTGAGCCCTCCATAAATATCAGTGAGTACATCCTTATTAAGCTAACGTGGTAGTTCAAAGGAGAGAAGAAGTCCTGAATGAAGCCTCTGGCACAGGGATTAGAGAGAAGGTAGCAGCTGTAGGATGGAATCAGTAGGACTTGATACTTTGGGGGATGTAGAGAGTGAGGAGGCCACTCCTTTTCTTTTCTTTTCTCTTTTCTTTTCTTTTCTTTTCTTTTTCTTCTCTTCTCTTCTCTTCTCTTTTCTCTTTTCTCTTCTCTTTTCTCTTTTCTCTTTTCTCTTTTCTCTTCTCTCTCTTCTCTCTTCTCTTCTCTTCTTTTCTTTTCGAGATGGAGTCTGGCTGTGTCGCCCAGGCTGGAGTGCAGCAGTGTGATCTCTGCTCACTGTAACCTCCACCTCCCAGATTCAAGTGATTCTCCTGCCTCAGTCTCCCAAGTAGCTGGGATTATAGGCATGAGCCACTGCTCCCAGCCATGCTAATATTTTAGTATGGCTGTGTCCTTACTTGACCCATCTGACTTATTATCTTAGCTTCTTGGTCTCTGTAATGTGTTAAATGAATAATTTTTTTCTTTTTTGATACAGGGTCTCACTCTGTTGCCCAGGCTGGAGTGCAATGGTGTGATCTTGGCTCACTACAGCCTCAACCTCCTAGGCTCAAACAATCCTCTCACCTCAGCCTCCCTAGTAACTGGGACCACAGGCACACGCCGTCACGCCCCACTAATTTTTTTTTTTTTTTTTTTAGAGATAGGGTTTTATCATGTTGCTCTGGCTGGTCTCAGACTCCTGGGCTCAAGTGATCCTCCTGCCTCAGCCTCCCAAAATGTTGGGAGTACAGGCGTGAACCTCTGTGCCCAGCTAGGTGAATAATTTAGATGACATTTCAAACTTATTTCTAAACTCACTATTTAAGCCAACAACAGGAATAGGTAATTTCTTTATTAAAGCAATCAAGGGTTAAAAGTATAAAAACATACATGCATGATCTGAGCCATTTTTTAAATTTAAATTTAAATTTTGTTTGTTTGTTTGTTTGTTTGAGATGGAATCTTGCTCTGTCACCCAGGCTGGAGTACAGTGATGTGATCACAGCTCACTGCAAGCGCCGCCTCCTGGGTTCAGGCGATTCTCCTGCCTCAGCCTCCCGAGTAGCTGTGACTACAGGTGTGCGCCACCGTGCCCAGCTAATTTTTTGTATTTTTAATAGAGACGGAGTGTCACCATGTTGGCCAGGCTGGTCTGGAACTCCTGACCTCAAGTGATTTGCCCGCCTTGGCCTCCCAAAGTGCTGGGATTTACAGGCCAGGGCCACTATGCCTGGCTGATCTGAGCCATTTAAAAGTGGTGCTTGGCTAGGCACGGTTTGGCTGGGTTGAACCCGGTAGGCAGAGGTTGCAGTGAGCTGAGATTGTGCCACTGTGCTCCAGACTGGGCAACAGAGCGAGACTGTGTCTCAAAAAAAAAAAAATTTATGGACCAGAGTTGGGTTTCTCCAAGTTTATTGTGCAGACATATCCGCTGGGGACCTGGCTGAAGTGCAGGTTCTGGTTCAGGAGGTCTGGGATGGTACCCAAAATTATGCATTTTCAATGAGATTTGGATGATGCTGCTTGTCTGAGGAGCACACTTTGAGTACCAGGGGGCTACAGAGTCCAGAAATAAAACTAAGAAAAGTTGTATACCTAGCAGACAATGGAGGTGGAAAGGGGTGGTTTATTTCATGGGTCATGGAGTCAGATGCTGTCAGGGCTAGGAAGTGTGTGAAGCAGCTGGTGTCAGGCTATAGGGAGCTCTGGGGCCTGAATATGACGTTCCTTCCACCTTAGTGTTCACATTCAAATTTAAAAAGGAAGAACAAAAAGGAGGTGAAGAAAAAGAGAGGGAGGAAGCAAGACGTACTGATGGAAGCATTTTGAGGTGATACTGGATGGCCTGGGTGGGACTTACATGGTGCAGCATAACTGGCTCTCAGGGAACAAGAAAACAAAGTTGCATGCGTCACTCACACCACAGAGGAAAACACAGTAGCATGAACCCCGGAAGGATGAAATCTCTAAATGTAAAAAATAAAGCTATGAAAATGTTAGAAGAACTGAGAGAATGTGTATATCACCTTGAGGTAGGTAGACCTTCTGAAGCAGGACTGAAATCCATGAAAACAATCTGGTATCACATAAGGCATGAAGGCAAAGTCAAAAAGCAGGTCATGTCTATGAAAAATAATGGGCAATATCACTAAAATTTAAGAAAGTAAACTGTTTTCTACATATCGAATTGATGGAAGTTTTAGAATGATGGGATCCCATACTGATAATGAAAAAGGAAAGCTCTCCTTCAGTGCGGGGCGTCTGGCAATGTTTATCAGAATTAAAACTCACATACCCTTTGATCTAGACTTTGGAAGTCTAGCTTAGCTCACAAAACAAAATATCAGTAAGTACAAGCATGGTGGCAGACGCCCATAATCCCAGCTACTCTGGAGGCTGAGGCGGGAGGATTGCTTGAGCCCAGGAGTTCAAGACCAGTCTGGGCAATATAGTGAGACCCTGTCTGTAAAAAAAAAAAAAAAAATTAAGTATCATTAAATGACAATAAATAACATTTTTAACAAGGCTTTTGTAATTTCATGCATGTAAAGAGGGGAGAATAATAAAATGGGTCTCCAAGTGACCATCACCCAGCTTGATCAATAAATGGCATTTCACTAATCTTGCTTTCTTTCTTCTCCTCTACTTATTCCCTGCCCCCACCCTGGAGTTCTTTAAAATCCAATTCCAAACATGTCATGTCACCTGTAAATAATTCAATATACATCTCTAACTGATCAGAGACTTTAATATACAAACACATAGCCACAACACCAAATACAGTTAACACTTAATTCCTTGGTATCTAATACCAGTTCACTCCATATTCAGATTTCCCTTGTTTTCTCAAAATATCTTTTTACAATTGGTTTATTTGAGTCAATTCAAACAAGCACCACACACTGTATCTGTTTATATGTTTCTCAAATGTATTTTAGTACATACATAATACAGCACTGCCTAAAGTGGCAAAAAGACACACACACACACAATAAATGGGACAAGAATCTCCGTAAAGTAGGCAATGATTTTGCCTATAGACAGGATCAGAATTAGAGTGGGGTGGAAGAGGAGTTGTTAATGTTTTTTAAACACCTCTAGAATGTTTGACTTGGTACAAAGTGCACATTTTTATACTTGAAGAGAATCTTTTTTTTTTTTTGAGACGGAGTCTCGCTCTGTCGCCCAGGCTGGAGTGCGGTGGCCAGATCTTGGCTCACTGCAAGCTTCGCCTCCCGGGTTTACACCATTCTCCTGCCTCAGCCTCCCGAGTAGCTGGGACTACAGACGCCTGCCACCTCGCCCGGCTAGTTTTTTTTGTATTTTTTAGTAGAGACAGGCTTTCACCGCGTTAGCCAGGATGGTCTCAATCTCCTGACCTCGTGATCCGCCTCCCAAAGTGCTGGGATTACAGGCTTCAGCCACCGCGTCCGGCTGAGAAAATCTTAATAAAGAAAAAAGCCAGAATAATATAATGATTCATATTGCTTTTGTTCTTCATAATGTATTTGACTAGGCAGCTTGAAATGCCCGTGGGAGTTTGGTGAGGGAGAACCCATCGTTTTCTTTTCTTTTCTTTTTTGTTTTTTTGAGACAGAGTTTCGCTCTTGTTGACCAGGCTGGAGTGCAATGGTGTGATCTCGGCTCACCGCAACCTCCACCTCGTGGGTTCAAGCGGTTCTCCTACCTCAGCCTCCTGAGTAGCTGGGATTACAGACATGCACCACCACACTCGGCTAATTTTGTATTTTTAGTAGAGACAGGAACCCATCGTTTTCTATAGAGGGTTTTTTTTGTTTGTTTGTTTGTTTGTTTGTTTTTTTGGTGGTTTGCTTTTGTTTTTTTCTAAAGAAAATAAAAGAATCAAAGAATGGTTACTCCATAGGCAGAGCAGCCTCTACAGAGCTTTGCTTGGAGTGATGTAACATCACACCAGGGCTGGGTAGGCTGTGAGCTGCATCAGTGGTGTGTAACTTTAGTTTGGGTTGATTTTTACATCATGTGTGACTTTGGTTGGTGAATCCTGGTGGATTAAAACTTCGCACATCTGGGCCGGCTACAGTGGCTCACGCCTGTAATCCCAGCACTTTGGGAGGCCGAGGCGGGCGGATCACGAGGTCGGGAGATCATCCTGGCTAACACAGTGAAACCCCGTCTCTACTAAAAATACCAAACAAAATTAGCCGGGTGTGGTGGCGGGTGCCTATAATCCCAGCTACTCGGGAGGCGGAGCTTGCAGTGAGCCGAGATTGGGCCACTGCACTCTAGCCTGGGCAGCAGAGCAAGACTCCGTCTCAAAAAAAAAAAAAAAAAAAAAACCCAAACAAAAACAACCTAACTTGCACATCTGTTGATTACATGCTATTAGGGTGATTTGGGATCTGTGCATTGCTATCAGTGTTTAACAGCATCTGTTTTCTTCTGTCCTCTTCCCCCCAGGCATCTACCATGTTACGAGCTTCCTTGGCACCCGTGTAAGTAACTACTCTTAGGAATTTTTATTAAGGAGAACAGCAATGTGTAAAACGGGAATTCAAAGTGTCTTTAATAAACACTCAGCAGCCTAGCTTAGGGGAATGCCTTTGAGCTAGAGCTACATGTGAATATTAAAGGAAATACGAGTACTTATAAGTAATGTTGTTAAACTAGAATTATCTTTTATTGCATGTGTGTGTTTTGTTTTTTTTTTTTTGAGATGGAGTTTCGTTCTTGTTGCCCAGGCTGGAGTGCAGTGGCGCAATCTCAGCTCACTGCAACCTCTGCCTCCTGGGTTCCAGTGATTGTCCTGCCTCAGCCTCCCAATTACACACATATGCCATCACGCCCTGCTAATTTTGTATTTTTAATAGAGACAGGATTTCTCCATATTGGTCAGGCTGATCTCGAACACCCAACCACAAGTGATCCACCCCCTTTGACCTCCCAAAGTGCTGGGATTATAGGTGTGAGCCACCGTGCCCGGCCATCTTATATTGTTAATTCTATTCTTTTGGTAAGGAAGCCTCAAACGAAAAAAGCTGTAGAATTGTTCATATGGTATTGTATAGAAATAAATATAATCTACTATCATAGTGCAATCCACAGAGTGTTGCACTGTCTGAATTTGTGTTGTCTGCTGGTTCACACTGTGATCAGGGCCATGGGCAGCCCTGTGTATGCCTGAGCACTCGTGTCCTGATGAGTTGGGCTGTCCCCCTTGGGAGTGTCTGATGCTGTGGTGGCAAGGGAGTTGAGAACCTTTGACTTGGACATGAGGACCAGGGTGGCTTCTGGGACCCTCTGAGCCAGCTTTGCCGGGGAGGAGGGGAAGATAGGGGTGAGATGCCCACAGCATTCCTCCTCCCTCAGCCGTGCCTGAGTCTGACCTTGACCCCACACTTTATTCTCTCCTACCACTTTGGCAGCAGTATCACTGCACAGACTGCTAGGGTTAAAAGCCCACTCCTGCTACCCTCCCTGGGACCGGGGATTACTTATTTAATTTCTTTGTGCCTCAGTTCTTCACTTATAAAATGAGGAGAATCATAGTAATTCTATTTTAGGATTGTTGTGAGGATCAAAATTAATACATATACAACACTTAGCATTTGGCGTAATACTGTAGTATTACACCAAAATGAGGAAACTATCATTGATAAACTAGACTGCAAAGCTCATTTAGTTTCACCAGTTTTTCCATGCCTTCTAATCTCCTTTTCTACAATAAAACAACAAAAAACAAAGCGTGAAGACACTTGTTTTAGCAACAAGGAGGCTGAGGTGATTCCTTTGGTTTCTGGCTGACTGAAGGTGAGTGGCGGGGCAGTCTGAGCTGTGTGGATCTCAAATCTGAGGTCTTTCCTCACTGAAACCTGGCTCCCCAGAGGTCTTTGCAGTCTCCCTGAGGAGGGTCTGCAAATTGTCCTACAACCCATCTCCTGCCTATGTTCCCATGCTGCTTGCTGACCACGCATTCTACCTCCTCGGAGGGCTGAGCCACCCACCTAATGACTCTTTTTTTCTTTTTTTTCTTTTTCTTTGAGACAGAGTCTTGCTGTGTCTTGCCTAGGCTGGAGTGCAGTGGTGCAATCTCGGCTCACTGCAGCCTCCACCTCCTGGGTTCCAGTGATTCTTCTGTCTCAGCCTCCCGAGTAGCTGGGACTACAGGCATATGTCACTATGCCTGGCTAATTTTGTGTTTTTAGTAGAGATGGGGTTTTACCATGTTGGCCAGGCTGGTCTCGAACTCCTGACCTTAGGTGATCCACCTGCCTAGGCCTCCCAAAGTGCTGGGATTACAGGCGTGAGCCAACATGCCCGGCCTCTGCCTACTTACTCTTCACACTTGTTTTCTGACTGTCGTTCATACTCCCCCAGTCCGGTCGCTCAGGCTTGAGAGGAACACTGGCTTCAGGTGTTTAGGTAGAACTCTTGGGGCCTGGTGATGCTAATTGTCTTTGAACTATGTCTGGAATTCTAAACAGAACTTTGGTGGAAAGTCAAGATGCCCCCAAGGGATTTCTTCCCCATCCTAGGGAGGTCTGGCTGAAGGTGAATGTAGGGGTTTCTAAATCTGTTCAGACAAAGACTCCTTGTTTTAGGAAAAATGTTAAACAGAACCTAAGTCCATCCAACAGAACAGGCAGAGCTGAGCTGGTTGAAGCTGAGGTAGGAGCCTAGAACCCAGCACGCCCTCCAAGTGGAAGCCGGGAGGTCATGCCGGGAGCCCAGGGGAACAGCAGGCTCTAGCTCGGGTGTCATGATGCTCAGGAGGTGTAACGAACATGCCTTTTTGCCCTTTTCTTTCTCTTTGAACTTGTGTTGCTGAGTAGGAAATTGAAGGATGTCCCATTACTGCCGTCCTTGGATTATGAGAAACTGAAGAAGGATTTGATTTTGGGGAGTGACCGCTTGAAAGCCTTCTTGTTGCAGGCTCTACGCTGGGTAGGTGCCTTTGTCTTAAAGTTAGAAAACAAAACCAAACCAGTGCTGGTTTCTTGGCTGGCTACCTTGTTTGTATCTTTTAACCCATCTTCCAGAAATCATTCTTCCCCGCTGTCTGCTGACACCAAGAATGGAAGTCGAAGCCACTTCTGAGGAAAGCCTGGGCCTCCTTTGAGAAACTCCTATATTATGGCAATTGTGATGTAATGAGTTAGGTAAATGAATTTCAAGGCCCGAGAGACTGCACCTGTGTGTAGCCCTTTCCTGGCCGTGAGCCCCACTCTACTTGTGGGGGCCGCGTGTGAGCGCATGGAGTCGGGGTTGACCACAGTCCCACAGAGGTTCTGTATTCAGGCACTGCCGTGTGGGCACCCTGGAGAGGCGCCAAGGAAAGACCTCCTGTTCACAAGGCCTAAAGGAAGTGGCCTGGTCCCCATCTTTACTCTTCTCCCTAGTGTTCAGATTGAGTGCAGTTGAAGTCAGCAATTGGTTCTCAAGCTTTTTAGCGTCAGACCCCTTTCCACTCTCAAAAATTACTGAGGACCTCAGAGAGCTTTCATTTATGTGAATTTTGTCTACCAATATTTGCAGCATTTGAAATTAAAACTGAAAGGATTTACCTGGGCATGGTGGCTCAAGCTGTAATCCCAGCATACTGGGAGGCCAAGGCAGGTGGATCACCTGAGGTCAGGAGTTCAAGACCATCCTGGCCAACATGGCAAAACCCCATCTCTACTAAAAATACAAAAAATTAGCCAGGCATGGTGGCAGGTGCCTGTAGTCCCAGCTACTCAGGAGACTGAGGCAGGAGAATTGCTTGAACCCGGAAGGCAGAGGTTCCAGTGAGCCAAGATCACACCACTTCACTCCAGCCTGGGCGATAGAGTGAGACCCCATCTCAAAAAAAAACAAAAAACAAAAAAACGCTGAAGATTTGAAGTATGTGGTTATTAATTCATTTAAAATGAGTGATAATGAATGACATGTTAACATAAATAACATTTTTTGTGATGAATCCTACTTTCCAAACAACAACAGAATTGTGAGAAAAGCAGCATTGTTCTGCAGTTGTCTTTAGTGTCTGGCTTGATGGAAGACAGGTGGATTCTTATATCTGCTTTGTGTTTGATTGTCAGTGTCACCCTTCATATAGCCTCCCAGAGACTGATCATAAAACAGGCATTGTCATATCTTAGTATTATGAAAATTGTGACCTTGCAGACCCCCTAACGGGCTTGGGGGACCTCTCAGGGTTCTCTGGACCACACTGTGAGAACTGCTGACTCAAGCCAACACTGATTGAGCCAGCAGTTCTTTAACTGAACAGTCCATTCTAATTCATTAGCATCAGACACCTTCATGGACCCCCGAATTTCAAGGTATCTTCATAAGGATCCTTAGCAATTTCCCATCTGTGGATAGAAACAGTTCTCACTTGCATGCTTCTATGATAGTGCTTCCTGAGGTACGTCTTGAGGACTCGGACGACGTATCCAGGATCCACAGGAAGAGTCCTATGGATAAACAGTGATGTCTACTCTGGTTTTATTTGGGTCAGGACTAGAGTGGGTGGGTCAGCATGAGTCATCCACAGTGGCCATCTCCTCCTTGGCCATTTGCCTCTCTCTGCTCAAGCTCTCAAACTCATCTTTTATGCGGCTCTTGGTTTACTGACACTGCACTTCCTCTCAGTCCGTGCTACTCCTGAGCCTCTTGCTGAGACAGGGTATTCCTTTGCTGAGAGAGTGACATCCTCACAGAACAACCAGGAAAGGTGAACAGGTTTCTAATGTTTTTGTCTGTGTCCCTCTCCAGTGCCACCACCCAGCTTCTTGCCCCTGCTTCAACCTCAGTGAACTCAACAGAAGGGTAGCAGCACCCCAGTGTGACATTCCAGGCACACCCTGGCCATGATGGTTACGTCTGTTGGCAGTGCCTGCTCTGGAGGCCTTCCCGCCTCTCCTTCCAGCCCAGGGCGTCTGATGCTCTGGCCTGCGCTCTTGCCCATGCTAAGAACTAGCATATTCCTTGCACATCCAGCTTCTCTTTGGCTAGAAGCAGGGCTTACAGCCTCAGGATTTTTATCTAGTAGGATTTTCCTGAAAGAGCAAGGATATTTGCTCACTCTGTTACATGCTTTTTCATATCCCACCTCACACCTGTACACACCCATGTGCACACATACACACAGCCATTATACTAGCTCTGTAGACATTGTGTAAATTTTTACTTGTAGCAACATGACAGACATATGGCTTTCTAAATCTACAAAATTCTAGCCAGCTACCTTTACACTCATGCATGCACGTACGCACACATGCACACACACGCATAGGCACATGCACTGTGTCACTCTGTCATTCCCTACAGGATAGGATAGAGTGAGTTTGTTGGCAGAGCATGTATTCAGAGTGCTCTACAGTCAGCCCTGGACCCTTCCCACTGAGCCCACGCCACTGTGCCCTGTATTGTACTTCCCTGAGCTAGACCTCACTTCCCTATCCCCCACCATACTCATGCTCCCCTGTGCCGGTTAATAGGCAGCCTTTCCTGCAGGGGCCAGTTTCTGAGCCCCTTTATACAAGAAATGCTTCTCTGGACATGGATGAGCTCTTCCCTATCTGCACACTTGCAGTCTGAGCATTTTGCTGCCTTCTCTAAAGAGTTCGCAGGTATAAATTGGCTCCCTGTGTCACCCATTAGGAAGGACATGATAGGTTCTTTTTTTTTTTTTTTTTTTGAGACAGAGTCTCGCTCTGTCACACAGGCGGGAGTGCAGTGGCGTGATCTTGGCTCACTGCAAGCTCCGCCTTCTGGGTTCACATCATTCTCCTGCCGCAGCCTCCCAAGTAGCTGGGATTACAGGCACCTGCCACCACACCCAGCTAATTTTTTTGTATTTTTTGTAGAGACGGGGTTTCCTCATGTTAGCCAGGACGGTCTTGATCTCCTGACCTTTTGATCCGCCTGCCTTGGCCTCCCAAAGTGCTGGGATTACAGGTGTGAGCCACCACGCCCAGCCCACATCAAAGTTTCTTGTTTTGGTTGGCCGGTTAACTTGCCACCACCTCCCCAGCTGAATATTACTTATTTTGTTTGCTTAAATGTGTAGTTACTGATACTGCCATTTGAAACTACTACTATGTGAACCTTTTCTCCATGGTAAGACTTAGGTCTTGCTGCTTTTGTTTCTCCTTGCTCCAGCGCTTGACCACATCCCATCCCGGAGAGCAGAGGGAGACCGTTCTGCAGGCCTACATCAGCAACGACCTCTTGGACTGTCATAGCCACAACCAGGTCGGTAAGAGGTGGGCCAGATCCCGGCCACGGCCTTCAATTCTAGGGAATGTTCTCAGTAGATGAGAGAAGCTTTCATTTCTATACACATTTTCAGCATCATAACTTTATGTCAGCCTTGAGCTCATGAGGTCTTTTGCCCACCCTAGGCATTGGCCTACTTTTTGCTTCTAGTGAAGAGTTCTAGACAAGTTAGAACTGCTGGATTCATCATCTCTGGAGCTCTTTTCTGCCGTTTTTCCTTTTCTCAAATTCCCAACTCTTTACCTCACCTCGCTGCTTGCCATGAGTCCTGAAAACTGAATATGACTTTGGAGGGACAAGGTAGATAAGCAAGTTCAGGTTGTTTACATCTGGGCCTGACGAAAAATGTCTTGAACACAGTACTTACATACAGTTTTGGACCAGATAGGTCTACTGATCCTGTGGGAAAAGTATGAGATCTGGGGTAAAATAAACTGGCTTTCAAACCTCTGCTCTACCACTCATTAGCCAGGTCACCATAAGCAAGTTACTCAGGCTCAGGCACCTCCTCACCTGGGCAAGGAGTCGCGCCTGCCTCGGGAGGTTGTTGGGATGATTACATACAGTCTTGTGTGGGAAGTCCTTAGCCCCACGCCCCCCCCATGTAGTAGTCACTACATGGTCTTTCTCTTCTGTCTTTGCCCCTCCTGTCTGTATCTGCACCAATCTTCACTGGACAGGAGGAGGATCAGAATTTTGAATTTGGCACATGTTAACAGGGTACTACATTTTGTTATTTGGTTGAATTTTTATCCAGAGTGCTATAAAAATGTGAAGCTGTGGTTAAACTTCACAATGTGTGCACTGAGTGGAGTACCAAATGCTGAACGCTCACTGATTAAACAGCTGTTGTAGGCCATTTCCTGCTGCTATAACAGAATACCACAGATAGGGTAATTTATAAACAATCCAAGTGTATTGTGCTCACCGTTCTCGAGTCTAGGAAGTCCAAGAGCATGGTGCTAGCATCTGGCAAGGGTTATCCCAAAGCAAAAGGCAGAAGGCAGAAGTGAGCATGCGAGACAGAGAATGGGGATTGAAGCTGTCTTTTTATCAGGAGCCTACTCACACAATAACTAACCCACTCCAGCAATAATGGCATTAATCCATTAATGCCTAATATCCTCTTAAAGTTCCCACCTCCCTGTACTACTACATTGGCAATTAAATGTCAATATGAGTTTTGGTGGGGACATTTAAACCATAGCAGCAGACCCTGGGAAAGCGATTTGTACATTCATCTGTTGTACATACAGGCAATACAATTTGAGTTTTGAGTTGCCAGTTTACTCTGTGAATGTAGTCTTAATGCTCTCATGAAAGAGTTGTGTTAAGTTTAAAAATACTCTCTCATATTCTTGACTTATTTTCTTGCTTTTTTTTTTCTGTTTGGATTTATAATGGCATTGAATCCAGCCTACAAGGCATGAAGCACCTAAATAATATATTGTTATAACTTCCAAACTCAAATTCAAAGAGTAAAGTCAATACTGATTATTTCTAACATTATTTCATTGAGTCGAAGATACACTTTTCCCCCCCATTTTAACATCTTTGCTATTAGGGTGTATCTGACAGTTAGTGGCATATTATAGTTTAATTGGCAGTGTTTTTTTCCTTTCTTGATTATGTATAAAATGAGAATGTGTCCTCTGATGAAAGATGTGTTGGGTTTTGTCATCTACGGTTTTTGTCAAAAATGCAATGAACTCTGTAGCCATTGAAGAGAGTAATTTCTTCCTCAAGTCACTATATGTAATTACTGTGGTTTACTTATATATATATTTTGAGATGGAGTCTCACTCTTGTCACCCAGGCTGGAGTGCAGTGGCGCAATCTCAGCTCACTGCAACCTCCACCTCCTGGGTTCAAGCAATTCTCCTGCCTCAGCCTCCTGAGTAGCTGGGATTACAGGTGCCTGCCACCACACACAGCTAATTTTTGTATTTTTAGTAGAAATGGGGTTTCACCATGTTGGCCAGGCTTGTCTCGAACTCCTGACCTCAGGTGATCCACCCACCTCAGCCTCCCAAAGTGCTGGGATTACAAGCGTGAGCCACTGCGCCCAGCTATGGTTTATTTATTTATTTTGAGATGGAATTTCACTCTAGTCACCCAGGCTGGAGTGCAGTGGCATGATCTCGGCTCACTGCGACCTCCATCTCCTGGGTTCAAGTGATTCTCCTGCCTCAGCCTCCCGAGTAGCTGGGATTACAGGCATGTGCCACCACACCTAATTTTGTATTTTTAGTAGAGACGGGGTTTCTCTATGTTGGTCAGGCTGGTCTTGAACTCCTGACCTCAAGTGATCCACCCACCTCAGCCTCCCAAAGTGCTGGGATTACAGGCATGAGCCACTGTGCCTGGCCTGGTTTATTTTTTTAAGAAGAAATGAGCTGCTGGGTGCAGTGGCTCACTCCTATAATTTCAGCAGTTTGGGAGGCCAAGATGGGCAGATCAGGAGGTCAGGAGATCAAGACCAGCCTGGCCAACATGGTGAAACCCTGTCTCTACTAAAAATACAAAAATTAGCCAGGCATGGTGGCACATGCCTTAATCCCAGCTACCCAGGAGGCTAAGGCAGGAGAATCACTTGAACCCGGGAGATGGAGGTTGCAGTGAGCAGAGATGGCACCACTGCATTCCAGCCTGGCGACAGAGCGTCTCAAAAAAAAAAAAAGAAGAAGAAGAAATGAACTGAACCCTTGAACACTTTTACACTGCTGGTGGCAATGTAAATTAGTACAACCACTATGGGAAACAGTATGGCGATTCCTTAAAGAACTCAATGTAAAACTACCATTTGGTCCAACAATCCCACTACTGGCCATCCACCCAAAGGAAAAGAAGTCATTATATGAAAAAGACACATGCCCACACATGTTTTCATTTTGCAGTTACAAAGATTTGGAACCAACCTAAGTGCCCATCAACAAACGAGCAGATAAAGAAAATGTAGTATATATACAGCATGGGATACCACTCAGCCATAAAAAGGAATGAAATAATATCTTTTGCTGCAACTTGGATGGATCTGGAGGCCGTTATTCTAAGTGAAGTAACTTAGGAGTGGAAAACCAAATATCACATGTTCTTACTTATAAGTGGGAGCTGAGATATGAGGATGCAAACAAAAATGTTATAATGGACCTTGCACAGGTGGCAGTGTTCACTGTACCCAATGGGTGCACCAAAGACTCAGAAGTCACCACTAAATAACTTATCCCTGTAATTAAAAACCACCTGTACCTCACAAACATGAAATAATTTTTTTTTTTTTTAAAGAAGAAATAGGCTGGGTGTGGTGGCTCATGCCTGTAACCCCAGCAGTTTGGGAGGCCCGAGGTGGGCGGATCACTTGCGGTCAGGCGTTCGAGACCAGCCTGGCCAACATGGTGAAACCCTGTCTCTATTAAAAATGCAAAAATTAACCAGGTGTGGTGTGCACACCTGTAATCCCAGCTACTTGGGAAACAGGAGAATTGCTTGAACCCAGGAGGCGGAGATTGCAGTGAGCTGAGATTGCGCCACTGGACTCCAGCCTGGGTGGCAGACTGAGACTCTATCTCAAAAAAAAAAAAAAAAGAAATGAGTTGAAGTTCTCTTAAGATGTCAGAGAATCTGCAGGGCAGAAAGACTCCTTGTCCAGCATGGGTGCTGTGTCACTATGGGACCAAGGTAAACTAGCCTGTACAGATAGGAAATTGAACTCGATCCATTCCTCTTCCGTAGTGGTTCTCAAAGTTTAATGTGCATTGTTATCTCCTGGAGGTCTCATTAAAACAGATCTCTGGGTCCCACCAACAGTTTCCATTCAATAGGTCTATGGTGGGGCCCATGGATTTTCATTTTTAGCTGAATTCTTAGTTTCTAGACTTCATAAATATCTCCCTTCATATCTCTAAGCATCTTACCCATTTTTAAGTGTACAGTTCAGTGGTATTAAACACATTTATAATGTGCAACCATCATGTGCCATCCATCTCCATAAATAACTTTTTTCATCTTGTAAAACTGAAACTCTGTAGCCATTGAGCAATAATTCTCCGTTCCCCCCTACTCCAGGTCCCTGGCAAATTCCCATTCTACTATCTGTCTCTATGATTGTGACTTCTCCAAATAGCTCATATAAGTAGGATTGTACAGTATTTTTCTTTTTGTGACTGGCTTATTTCACTTAGCCAATGTCCTCAGATTCATCCATGTAGCATATGTCACAATTTCTTTCCTTTTTAAGGCTAATATTTCATTGTGTGGATGGACCATATTTTGCATATCTATCTGTTCCTCCATCAGTGGACATTTGCATTGCCTCCACCTTTTGGCTGCTGTGAATAGTGCTGCTGTGAAGTGTGCATGCACATCCTGACTGTTGTGTTAAGCTGCCCCTTGCTTTTTCTTTATAGTTTTCCCATCTATATAGATATCCTGCATAATACAGCATTTGCTTTTGTGCTGAGTAGCAAGCACCAGCCTCGCTCTGCAAGGAAACAGGACTGTGCCCATGTTAGATGAAGTTAGCTAGGAGAAGATGGCATAAACCAAAGTTTGGGGTGACATCTAGACATAGCTTCCCTGAGCACTTATTGATCCCCTCCGGGAACATTGGTCATCAGAGGTGGGAGACAGTCCTGGGAAACATAGAGCATCTGACAGAATTGAAAGGCTGGCCAGGTACCACTTGTCCAACAGCAATATTTATTTATTTTTTAATTTTTTGAGACTGTCTCGCTCTGCTGCCCAGGCTGGAGTACAGTGGTGTGATCTTGGCTCACTGCAACCTCTGTCTGCTGGGTTCAAGCAATTCTCCCACCTCAGCCTCCTGAGTAGCTGGGACTACAGGTGTGTGCCACCATGCCCAACTAATTTTTGTATTTTTATTACAGATGGGGTTTCGCCATGTTGGCCAGGCTGGTCTCGAACTCCTGACCTCAGGTGATCCGCCCGCCTCAGCCTCCCAAAGTGCTGGGATTACAGGCATGAACCACTGCACCCGGCAGCAGTATTTATGCCCAAGGGCAATGGTGAGCTGCTCTGTATTTTGTCTCGTAAGCTCACCTGATCTCCTCCTAGTTCTCAGGGGTTGATCACTTGAGAACACTTCTGTGGCAGTAGAAAGACTATTCACAGCTAATCCACAAAGCAGGGCATGGAAAGGGGAGCTGGAACTTCACTAGCATATGTTCAGGGTTATCCAAATGCAGATGAGTCTGGGCTCGTCTCACCAGCTATTTTGTACTCTGTTTAAAAATTAGGACATGGTGCACTACTTTGAAACACGGGCAGCATTTACTAAAACTGAATACCTGTGTCCTAGCAAAGCCACTCCTAAGTAAGCCCCAACCAAAACGTGCCCATATGTTCACTAAAAAACATGCAAGAATATTCATAGCTGCACTTCTAGAACCAAAACACTGGCTGCAACCCAAATGTCCATCAGCAGTAGAGTGAATACCTGTGATGTATTTGTAAAATGGGATACTTCGAGCAATGAGAAGGAATACAGCAGAGACCCTGGGTGAATAGCTCAAACATATTGTTGAATGAAAAAGTCAAACATAGGAGAATATATAATATATGGTTTCATTTATCAAAAAATTTAAAGCCAAGCAACATGAATCTATGATGTTAGAAGCCAGGAGAGAGGTCACCCTTGGTTCGGAATGGGGTTCTGGAAGGGCTTTTGGGGACGATGGTCATGTTCTGTTTCTTGATCTGTTTACTAGTTAGCCACATGTTCACTTTGTGAACACTCATCAGGCTGTACTTGTGATCTGTGCAGTGTCCTGTGTAGATGCTATACTTCAACAAAAATTCGCTCTAAATTGGTGTAATGGTAACAGGCATCTTGGGGACGACAGCCTTTGATATGTCGCCCTCTTGAATCAGCTGAGTTTAGTCTGGAAAACATTCTGGTGCATAGCTGCTGTCCAGGAGTCTCTTCACCAAACGTGTGTCGATTCCTTTCACCTCTTTCCTGAATTGGATCTCTGTTTCCAGTGTCTGATATTATCTTACTTCTTGACTTGTTCTCTCGGTTGGTGGAACACATCCTTTAGTTAATCGCATCTAGAGAAAAAGTGCACAGGGAATATATATTTTGAGATCATATATGGTCAAGAAATGTCTTCATTCTTTGTATGGAATCCTAGATTGTAAATAATTTTCCTTCAGAATTTTGAAGACATTACTCCATTGTCTTTTAGGTTCCAGTTTTGCTGTTCAGAAATCCAAAGCCAGCTGGGTAGGGTGGCTCATGCCTATAATTCTAGCACTTTGGGAGGCCGATGCAGGAGGATCACTTGAACCCAGGAATTTGTGAGCAGCTGAGGGAAAAAAAAAAATTTAAATTAACCAGACACATTGGCATGTGCCTGTAGTCCCAGCTAACTCAGAAGGCTGAGGCGGGAGGATTGCTTGAGCCCAAGAGGTTGAGGCTCTGAGCTGTGATCATACCACTGCACTCCACCCTGGGCAACAAAGTGAGACCTTGACTCAAAAAATTTAAAACAGAAATCCAAAGCTATTCCAATTCTTTATCTTTCATATGTGACCTGTTTCTCTCTCGAGAAGCACATTGAATCTTCCCAGTTTCCCATTGACGTCCTTCATGAGGTATATTTTAATCCATTGTTTTGAGCACTTTGTGAACCCTTTCCAATCTGACAGCTTTCATTTTGGGAACTTTTTCTTGAGTTATTTTGTTGAGGATTTCTTCCTTCTGTTTTCTTTGTTCTCTCTCTGAATGTTGAACCTCCTGAACTGGTTTTCTATTTTTCTTATAGTTTCACTCATATTTTCTACTTTTTGTTCCATTCTTTGGGAGATTTCTTTTTTTTTTTTTTTGAGACTGTCTCACTCTGCTGCCCTGGCACAATCTCAGCTCACTGCAACCTGTGCCTCCTGGGTTCAAGCAATCCTCCTGCCTCAGCCTCCCGAGTAGCTGGGATTACAGGTGTGCGCCACCACGCCTGGCTAATTTTTGTATTTTTGTAGAGATGGGGTTTCACCATGTTGGCCAGGCTGGTCTCAAACTCCTGACCTCGAGTGATCTGCCCGCCTCGGCCTCCCAAAGTGCTGGGATTATAGGCGTGAGCCACCCTGCCCAGCCTCCCTAGATTTCTTCATCTTTATTTTCTGACCCTTCTGTTGAAACTTTTATTTCCTTTTTGATAGCTTTCTCTTGTTTCATGGATATAATACAGTTTCTTATATCTTAGAGGATGTTAGTGATGAATTTTCATTTAATTTTTAGTTTTCTTCTCCCTGCACAGTCTCATTTACTCCAAGCCCACCCCCGCCCCATTTGTTTTGGCCTCCTGGTAGAAACTTTTCTCAGATGTCTGGTGGTCCTTGATGATCTCCTAATGAGAGATTTGGAGTGAAAGGGACTACAAAGCCATTGAGTGTGATGGTGGGGCCTGTCGATGGATAGCTCCATCCAGGGGGATCTGGGTGAACCGTTTGCTGGGAACCTCTGATTTCATGGTCTCTAGTTCTTTCTCCTTGGGCTGGTCATTTCACTGTGAGAATAGTCTTCTAATCTTGGGCCTAGAGGGAAAGGGTCTGGTTGCCAGGGTCCTGGGAGCCAAGTTTTGGGGTGGCCCTCTGTTCCACATTCATTCTGCATTTAGACACTAACCCCCCTCTCCATTTTGTTCTAGAACCCCTGCAACCCTTGCTCTCCTCTGCCTGGTGTCCCCCATCCACAGACCCTTTATGTCACCCTCACAGGGGAACACCCTCTCCCCTGCCCTGTGCTGAGAGATGCGCAGGACTCACATGAGTGGGATCCAGCTGCTGCTTAAACAACTTCCATTCATTCCATTCCATTTATTTTTCTTCAGCTCTTAAGCCCTTTAAGGAGTGAGTAATGGAAACGGTAATTCCACAGTGCCCGTTGCTGCCTTGAGATTTGACCTTCTTGGGCCTGCTAAGCCTCTTGCCATGCTGCATTCCCGCTTCCAAAATTGTGGCGTTGTTGTTTCTCGTGCTGTTCTCTCTGTCCTTGGCAATTATCTTTTTTAACGGTCCATTTATTGTAATTTTACTGTGGTTTAGAGGGAGCCAAATTAGGCATGTGTCTTGGATCTGCCATTCTAACCTGGAAAACAGCAGCAACGGTAACAGCAAACAGGACTGCTTCCTTTGCGCCAGTCACTGTTCTGAGGGCTTTGTATAATTAATTCATTTAATTTGGAAATCTGACTTAACTTATTTTTGCCAAGTCTCATCAAATTTCAGCTGGAAATCAAGGCTTCCAGATGAAATGTTTGGCTTTAGTCTGTTTATTTCACCTCTAATAAGTTCAGTCAGAGGAAGAGAACTACCAGACCCAAAGAGGAGACATATGTTTATCTCTCCCTTTTCTTAACCTTGTTGTTTTTCCTCTTGACTTTTTCCCCCAGAGGAGTGTGCTTCAGTTGCTGCACTCCAAGAGTGACGTGGTGCGGCAGTACATGGCCAGGCTCATCAATGCTTTTGCGTCACTGGCAGAAGGTGAGACATCAGCTTTGCTTCAAAGAGAAGAGCTTGGTCGCATTGGTGTGCTTTTTCCTTTGAAAATGAGTGTTCCTCCCAAGTTTCTTGGAGATGACGCTTCCTCAGTTTGTTACTGTTTAATTTATCTAAGGTCTTTTGTGAAAATTGTTGTCATATTGCTTTCATTTATGTCAGAGCACATTTAGACAGTTTTGGGGTTTATTTTGTAAACCTCCCGGTTTTATTTTTTAAAGCTTTCTGGTTTTGTAATAGAGCAACATTTTATATTGCTTTCAAGTATATCACAGGTAATGGATGCATTTTCTATAATTTCCTCCTTAAGGCAAAATACGTGAAACAATTACGGCAAAATAAGCTTAGTGAAACAAAGCAGACGCCAATAAACACTGCACCATTTCCTTTGGAAGACTATGACCTCTTAAATCAAAGGATTTGAAAACTCTGAAAATAACATGCCCCCATAACTGAATTTAAAATGATTTTGCAAAGTGCCATTATCTTCCATAAGTTCTTATTTATTTGAGCTCTTTATAATGTGAATAAAGGGAGTTTTCAAATTATGAATACATGATACTCCAAAACTTTGTTCATTTGTTTGTTCATTCTTCCATCCTTTTGGCAGACATTTATGATACGCCAGGATATGTTACTGAGGACCATTCATATGATAATACTGTTGAAACTTATGTCTGAAATTAACATCTTCCATATCAATTCAGAAGTCCATAGCAGGCTAGTGACCGTTCTGGGCTTATTACAGGGTCCCAGGTATGGCATCTTGCTTCTTCTCCAGGCCTTGTACAGAGAGTGTGGACGGAAGCATTCCTTGGCTGCCTCTGTTGTGAAGACTTAAGGGCTCATAACATACACATCTACCCCTCTTTTCTCCTTGTAGATCTGACTGTTGGGTTCAAGATTTCATGGAAAAAAAGGACAGTGCTCCCCACAAGAACACAGCAATGAATTATGTTTAGCTCTCAAGAAGAGTGGTTTTTCTAGTCATCAGATATTTCATTGAATAAAACCAACTTTTGGAAGAAATATCTTTTAATAAATTTTGTGGGGGTTTTGTGTTTTTTTTTTGTTTTTGTTTTTGTTTTTGTTTTGAGACAGAGTCTCACTGTGTCACCCAGGCTGGAGTACAGTGGCATGATCTCGGCTCACTGTAGCCTCAACTGCCCGGGCTCAAGCAATGTTCCTCCTGCCTCAGCCCCCCAGTTAGCGGGGTCAACAGGTGTGTATCATCATACCTGGCTAATTTTCCTTAGTTTCTGTGGAGATGAGGTTATGCCCTGTTGTCCAGGCTGGTCTCCAATGCCTTGGCTCAGACAATCCACCTGCCTCAGCCTCCAGAAGTGCTAGGATTACAGGCGTAGCCACCTTGCACAACCAGTACGTTTTTGTTTGTTTGTTTGTTTGTTTTGAGATGGAATCTCGCTCGCTCTGTCATTCAGGCTGGAGTGCAGTAGTGCGATCTCGGCTCACTGCAACCTGCCTCCCAGGGTCAAGCAATTCTCCTGCTTCAGCCTCCCGAGTAGCTGGGTTTACAGGCACCTGCCACCACACCCAGCTAATTTTTGTATTTTTAGTAGAGACAGGGTTTCACCATGTTGGCCAGGCTGGTCTCGATCTCCTCAGGTGATCTGCCTGCCTCAGCCTCCCAAACTGTTGGGATTATAGGTGTGAGCCACTGCACCCTGCCCAGTAAGTTTTTTAGAACATAAAATTACCCAAACTCTACTGTGTTATATGCAAAGTAAGTTTTCATGGAAAGTGGTTTTGTAGCATACCAGATAAATTATTTCTGTCTTTCACCTGTTTCCTCTCTGGTGCATCATCAGGTCGCCTCTACCTTGCCCAGAACACAAAGGTGCTACGGATGCTGGAGGGAAGACTGAAGGAGGAGGACAAGGACATCATCACCAGAGAGAATGTTCTTGGGGCCCTGCAGAAGTTCAGCCTCAGGTAATGATTGTGCAGTAGGTCACGGCGTCTCCTGTGAGATCAGATTGAGTTAAAATTCCCATGGCAACCCAGGAGGTAGATGGTATTTTTCCACTACACTTTGGAGAGGTTGGATGACTCTCTAAGACAGAACTAGAAAGCTTATCTCTAATCCACTAAACTATCCTGCTTGAGGCTGCTGGAGATGGAGGAAGACATTTTCAAAGCACCATTGGATTTTCCTAACGGACATTATTGAGTGCCAGCCATGCAGGATTGTGTCTCGGGGCATGTGCAGGGCTTAGAGACAGATACATGAATCAGACCTGATAGAGCATCAGCCCTCAAGTTACTTCCAGTCCCCTATGGGAGCCGTACACGTGAATGCACATCCCAGCAGAGTGTCAGAGGCAGTCCTGTGGAAGTCAGGGTTAGGGCCTCCTGACCTTGTCCATGATCCCAGCAGCCCACCCCATGGGCTCAGCCTAGACCGTCATGACTTGGAGCCGATGGGGCTGGGCTAATTTCTATATTTTTAGTACAGATGGGGTTTCATCATGTTGGCCAATCTGGTCTTGAACTCCTGACCTCAGGTGATCCGCCCATCTCAGCCTCCCAAAGTGCTAGAATTAACAGGCGTGAGTCGCCGCACCTGGCCCCATAGTCGTCAGTTAACGGCTTTGTTGAGATGTGTTTACACACCCTGATATTCCCCCATATTAAACATACAATCGAAGGATTTTTAGTGTATTTACAGAGTGGTACAGTCATCACCACAATCCAGGTTTAGGACATTTCCATCACCACAAGAAGAAACCTCATACCCGTTTATAGTCACTCCTCATTCCTACCCGCAGGCCCTGGTAGCCACGAATCTGCTTTCTGTCGATTGACTTGTACTGGACATTTCATATAAATGGAATCATGCAGCGTGTGCTCTTTTGTGACTGGCTTCTCTTACTTAGCATCGTGTTTGCAAGGTTCATCTATGTAGCAGCATATGTCAGGGCCTCATTCATTTTGTGGCTGAATATGATACTCCATTATGGCTACACCACATTGTTTGTTTGTTTGTTTTGGAGATGGAGTCTCACTCTGTTGCCCAGACTGGAGTGCAGTGGCGCAATCTCAGCTCACTGCAACCTCCACCTCCTGGGTTCAAGCAGTTCTCCTGCCTCAGCCTCCTGGGTAGTTGGGATTACAGGCGCACACCACCCCACCCGGCTAATTTTTGTATTTTTAGTAGAGATGGGGTTTCACCATGTTGGTCAGCCTGGTCTCAAACTCCTAACCTCGTGATCCACCCGCCTCGGCCTCCCAAAGTGCTGGGATTACAGGCGTGAGCCTCTGTGCCCGGCCCACACCAGTTTGTTTGTCCTTCAGTTGATCGGCATTTGGGTTGTTTGCATTTTTGGCCAATATGCATAATGCTGCTGTGAACGTTTCAGCACAAGTCTTCATGTGGACATATGTTTCCTTTTCTCGTGGATTGGCGTCTGGGAGAGTAATTGCTGGGACATATGGTAATTTTTTCAGAGTTTTTATTCTCTCATGATCACCTGAAGTTCTCTTTGACTTTCTTGAGAATTCTCGTCCCTGGAGTCTTCAACTTTTTTCTGTCGGTCCTCTTCTGAACACACTTTCTTCCCATCAAATGTGGTTAACATTCGACTGACTCACAAATAACCAGAAGCCTGCAAAGTGAAATGGTCTAAGCATGTGTGTGTTTAGTGGGGGAAGGAGTAGGTGTTTGTATCTACTATTTGCCAACTCCCTGCTAATGAAAATTCTTTGTTCTAACTGTATGAATTGAAAAGAACTGTAAGTGATCTGCAGTGTCATTACTTCCTCAGAGCATACAAACACTTCATTTCTGTTTGTTTATAGAGAGAACTTTGCTCAGTGTTGACCATTTTGGGGAAGTTTTTAGAAATTCAATAACTATAGTTAAGTAACAGATATAAGATATGGTGAAAAAAATACTTCCTCCTGGTAATGCAAATATTTACTGCCTGTTTATCTTTTCCTCCAAATGATAATTTAAGCTTTTTTGTTCTGTAAATGTGCTTAACCTTTTTGCAGTTTTCCCAAGTCTCTGCAATAAATGGAGAAGATAGCTAGTTACCAAGAGAGTGCAGTCTTCACCGTATTCTAATAAGCCACCCTGATTGGGTCAGTGTAGTGTTTAAGAACAGGATGAACAGATAAACTGGCTCTGCTGTTCTGTCCTGAGCAGTGGTTTCGCCAAAATCTGCTCATCAGGAGATGTGCAGATCTGGCTTCTCTGTGGTATGTCAGTTTTCTACTAATCCAGATGGCATCTCATAATGATACCACACTTAGTCTCAGCAATTCTTAAGGCTAACCTGATGATATTCACCATCACACATTTTGATGGGGTATTGAATTTTGTAGGATTCTACACCTGGACTTTGGGTGGAAAATCATTCCTTATAATTTGCATTTACAAGGTCATTAAACTACACTTACTCTATAGAAATGTGAATCAAAATGATGTTAAGCTAGGCTTTTGCTCCTCCTTTTTTTCTTTATTTTCATGCAGCCCAGAGTGCCTAGACCTGGATTACAGAGAGTTTAGGTGAAAATCTATTTGTCAGCTGGTGCAGTGGCTTATGCCTGTAATCCCAACACTTTGGCAGGTTGAGGCGGGCGGATCAGCTGAGCTCGGGAGTTCGAGACCAGCCTGGCCAACATGGAGAAACCCCATCTCTACTAAAAATACAAAATTAGCCGAGTGTGGTGGTGCATGCCTGTAATCCCAGCTACTTGGCAGGCTGAGGCAGGAGAATCGCTTGAACCCAGGAGGCAGAGGTTGCGGTGAGCCTAGATCATGCCATTGCACTCCAGCCTGGGCAACAAGAGCAAAACTCCATCACAAAAAAAAGAAAAAACCTATTTGTCAAATAAGTATTTCTATGGTCCTGTTTCCTGAGTTAAGTAAACCAAAAGCTACCAATGAATATTTATTAGATATTTGAAGTAATGCTCTGCTAATTTTAAATATTGAAAAGGAGACTTTCAAAGTAGGAGACCTCCTTACTGCCTTATCTTTATTTAAACCCTTAATAAATATCCCTGAAATGTAAAGAATTTTTGTTATTTCAATTGTATGAGTTTAACAAAAATATTCCTCAGAGTCTGTGTCTTCAGTAAGTTTGTCTTTTCTGATATGCATTCACATTACTGTTTCCTCTTTTTTTTTTTTTTTTTTTGAGACAGAGTCTTGCTCCATTGCCCAAGCTGGAGTGCAGTGGTGTGATCTCAGATCACTGCAACCTCTGCCTCCTGGGTTCAAGCAATTCTCATGCCTCCCAAGTAGCTGGGATTACAGGCGCCGCCACCATGCCTGGCTAATTTTTACATTTTTAGTAGAGACGGGGTTTCACCATGTTAGCCAGGCTTGTCTCCAACTCCTGACCTCAGGTGATCCATCCGCCTTGGCCTCCCAAAGTGCTGGGATCACAGGCATGAGCCACTGCACCCAGCCTACTGTTTCCTCTTATATGAAACGTTTCTTGGCAGTTTTTATTTACAGTAGGCTGTTTCTTCCCAGGCGCCCCCTGCAGACAGCGATGATTCAAGACGGCCTCATCTTCTGGCTGGTTGATGCTCTGAAGGACCCCGACTGCCTGTCTGACTACACGCTGGAGTACTCGGTGGCTTTGCTTATGAACCTCTGTCTCCGCAGTGCAGGTCTCAGCCCCCCAACCCTCATTCTATTGTAAGAAGGGGAAGAGATCTTGACCTTTGAAGCTGGGTTTCTAGTGAGCATGATGTGGTTTGCTTTTAGTCTCGTAGAAAACTAAAAACAGAAAAAAGAGTGGAAAGCATTTCCAACTAGGTATCAAGCTGTTGAATCCCTGAAGACAAAATCCCTTCTCACTCTGGAAAAAATGTCTTGTATATATGTAGTGCCCACATTAAGAGGAGACTAAGTTCATTTACATTTTTCTTTATTGCATTGTTCAAAGGTAGGCAATTAAGAATATGATCCCCTTTTCTGAAGACAAAGAAGTGTGTTCCCAAGATCCTATAGGATTAAGCTGGCCGCAGTAGCAGTGACACTAAACCACACTTCCTGCCTTGAATCACACGCTTTTCCCTGCCCCAGCCCTGGAGGTGGAGGTTCTCCTGTGGGCATAAGTCATTTATATACTTGATCAGTCATTTATATACTTGATCACTGAAGGCAGTGATTTTAGCTTTTCCAGGTACAGGTACTATCTCATTTCAGTTGTTACCTGGGATGAAAGAAGCTTCTTTAGAAGAGATGCCAAGTCTAGGCTTTGGCTTTCCTCAGCCTGAGCATCCAGTGTTTGGAGAGAAAGGCCCCCTGGATAAATAGCTGACTCAGGAGTACTTGTTGGAAGCATCTTCACCTCCGTATACTTTGTAGACTGAACCACGTAACTGTGTGTGGTTGACTGAGTAAATGACTATTATTTCAGTCATTTTAAAGAATAGCATGTGCAAAAAGTTCTAGCTTTTTTTCTTTCTTTCTTTCTTTCTTTTTTTTTTTTTTTTGAGATGAAGACACGCTCCGTCGCCTAGGCTAGGGCAGTGGTGTGATCTTGGCTCACTGCAACCTCTGCCTCCCAGGTTCAAGCGATTCTCCTGCCTCAGCCTCCTGAGTAGCTGGGATTACAGGTGCCCACCACCACGCCCGGCTAATTTTTGTATTTTTAGTAGAGATGGGGTTTCACCATGTTGGCCAGGCTGATCTTGAACTCCTGACTTCAAGTGATCCACCCGCCTCGCCCTCCCAAAGTGCTGGGATTACAGGCATGAACCACCACTCCCAGCCAGAAGTCCTAACTTCTAATACGTTGATCAGATTAGAATTAGCTTTTCTTCATCATCACCACCTTATTTGCGGTGATTTTTATGATGACGTTTATAGCTACTAAAATGCCTGTATGGTCTTCGTGATGCTGGTATCCGTGCGTGGGAGGGAGAACATTGCTCTATAATGTATTGTGCTTTCACAGAAATGACTCGCTCTGTGCTCTGACCAGAGTAATAGCCACCACTTGGGGTGGTTTACTGAGCACTGAGGTTGTATGCTACACTGAGTCCTTTACATACATTAGTTTATTTAATTTTGCATCACCCTTTGAAGTAGGCATGAATAGTAATCTCTGTTGTAAAGAGGAGGAAACTGAGGCCCAGACTGGTTATGTGACTCACCTGCGGTCATACAGCTCATGAGCAGAGGAGCCAAGATTTGTCCCCAAGTCCACGTGACCCAAAATTCTGCTTCTGGGTTTAGACGTGTCATGTTTAGCTTTGGTTTGTTTCCCACAGGGAAGAACATGTGTGCTAAGGTGGCAGGCCTCGTGCTCAAAGTCCTTTCGGATCTTCTTGGCCATGAAAACCATGAGGTACTCATTCAGCACTGCTGGCCCTGGGCTCGGGGGATGCTGCACTGGGGACCCAATGCCTGTGACCCCACAGGCCCACAGCTGGCCCAGGATGGTTGCTGTGTTTGAAAACTGTACATGTTCTCCCTCCTCCGGGGATTTTCATAAGCAGCTGGAAATCTTTTATAATTTTTAGAATTTTGGAAGTCAGAAGCAGGATGTTGTTCTTTCTGTCCCCGTCTGCTTGGCCCACTGGCCTGTGCCGGGCCCCTCTGGCATTGCTTTTTCTCATCATCTAGTCCCCAACATTCCTCCCTCACGTGCCACTCCCTTGGTATGTTTAATGTATCTCTGTGGATGTGGATGGAGCCTTAAAAGAGATATGATACTGTGTACATGTGTATTGAATTTACAGAAATAGATTACCCTCTAGGTCTCATTCTGTTGATGGCTTTTCCCCTGTGTTTTTAGGACCTTTCTATGTTGCTTTACATATGTCTAGTTCATTAAGTGTCACTACTGCAAAATAGCCCCTTGTTTGCACCCCTGCCATTCTACTTATCCAGCCTGTACACTTTGGGTGCCTCCCACTCTCTGTTGCCACAGCAGTCCTCAGTGGACATGGCCGCACCTGCCCCTCGGGAGCCTGTGCCAGAGCTTCCAGGGATGCGTAGACACTCATCACTGCTGGCTGCCAGCATACGTCAGTTTCAGGTCACTGAGTCCTGCCAAATCGTCCTCCAGAACGGCTGTACTAGTGTTTGCCCTCACCAGCGTCCCCCAACACCTAGTGTTCTTTTCTAAGTTTTCAACCTATGGGCCTCAAGCTCTTTTTAAATAAAGTAGAGGTGTGGGTAAACAAATTAACAAAAACAAATAATCAAATATGATTGTTCTCTCACTTGCCTTCTACAAATGCCATTGCAGAAACCATGGCCAAGCTTCAACAAAAATCTGACCACTTTAGACAGATGAGACCCAGGGGTATATCTGAGCAGGATACGATTGAGTACCACTTGGTTTCCACACATCTGTTCCCAATTATTTCTTTCTTTCTTTTTTTTTTTTTGAGACAGAGTCTCACTCTATCATCCAGGCTGGAGTGCAGTGGTGTGATCTTGGCTCACTGCAGCCTCCGCTTCCCAGATTCAAGTGATTCTCCTGCCTCAGCTTCCCAAGTAGCTGGGGTTACAGGTGCCCACCACCACGCCTGGCTAATTTTGTGTATTTTTAGTAGAGACAGAGTTTCACCATGTTGGCCAGGCTGGTCTTGAACTCCTGACCTGGTGATTCACCCACCTCGGCCTCCCAAAGTACTGGGATTAAAGCGTGAGCCACCACCCCCGGCCCGTCTGTTCCCAATTCAAGCAGACAGCTCCCACTCTGGTCATTCCATTCACATTTTACAATAGCCCTATTCACTGATTGGGGTGACTTCTTTAGCTAGTGGATGTTTGGTGGCTTTGTGACATTCACTTTATATTTTAAAACTAGTGAGCTCTTAACTACTTCTAGGCCTGAATGAACTCTGTTCCTCACTTTATTCAACTCAGGCAGGTGAAACCAGTGGGAAACATATTCTTCCATCTCATAATAAAGGTTGGTTTCAAGTACTGGAACCAATATGTCTGCTCTGAAAACTTAATAAACCAAAGGATTCTAATCATATCATTACCTGTTACGAATGCATTGGCTTTGAAAATGAGCTGGATAGGCCGGGCGTGGTGGCTTACGCCTGTAATCCCAGCAATTTTGGGAGACCGAGGCGGGAGGATCACTTGAAGTCAGGAGTTCGAGACCAGCCTGACCAACATGGTGAAACCCCATCTTTACTGAAAATACAAAAATTTGCCAGGCATGGTGGCATGTGCCTGTAATCCCAGCTACTCAGGAGGCTGAGGCATGAGAATCACTTGAACTTGGGGGATGGAGGTTGTAGTGAGCTGAGATTGTGCCATTGTACTCCAGCATGGATGATAGAGTGAGACTCTGTCTCAAAAAAAAAAAAAAAAAAAGTAATAAAAAGAAAATGAGCTTGAAAAACAACATATATATATCTGTGTGTATATATATGTGTATATATATATTTTTTAGAACCAAGAAATGTGTTTACTACACTGTAGTAGTCATGATCTTGAAAGACAAAACCGAAATAAAGAAAAAGATGCACATAATTGACTATATGAACATTACATTTTTTTATTGGAAAAAGATGCCATAATCAAAGTCAAAAGATGAATGAAACCCCGAGGAAAAGTTGTATCACATGTGACGAAAGTTTAATGTTCCTAATAGATGAAGAGCTGGTATAAATTGGTAAGTAAAAGTCAAGCAATCCAGTTGAAAAAAAGGATAAAGGATATGACTAGACAGTTCACAGAATCGTGCTGCCCCAGAAATGTGAAAAGATGTTCAATCATGCTAGTTCAATCGGGAACTGAAAATAAAAGCTGTAGGATGTCTTTTTTTACCCATCAGCTTGGCAAGCGTTGAAAGTGCTAATCAAGTCCAGTGCTGAGGGAGGGCAGTGGGAAAGGAGCCCTCCTCCATTGCTGTGGCGGGCAAAGCGTACAGCCTGCTGGAAAGAGAACTTGCTTATCAGCACCTGCCATGCTCTACGCCAGGTGTGTGCAAGTAAAACATGGGTCGTGTCCTCAAAAAGCTCAGAATAGAGGGGACATAGTATGAATTTAAAAGGATACTGCCTCCAGTGCTGTAGTGGAGGGAGGTACAAGAAGTGGAAGTGAGCACCCTGTCTGGGGGCAGGGAGGCAGGAGTGAGTTCAGGAGAGCCTTCCCAGGAGACGTGTCTGGACTGAGTTTTCAAGGTTCATTGTATGTGTGAAGATCATTCCTGGCAAGGTGAACTGCCAGAACCTGGCTGAGACATGGAACAGCCTGGTAGGGGGCATCCCTTAGGTAGTATGGACACTTTGTGGTGGCAGGGAGGGAGAAGCAGAGGGGATGAGATAAAGGCCACGCCTTGAAGATCCTGTGTGCCACACCAAGGAGTTCCACCTTTCCAACTGGGCTTTATGGAAGATTTCTGAGATGGAGAGAGGGATGATTTGGCCCATACTGTAGAATGTTGGGAGTGATCTGATGGTTACATTAAAGGGTGAATATTGAGGGTAGAGATACTGGTTTGGAGATCTGATGTAGCCTAGGTCATGGGCAATGATGTCTGAACAAGGACAGTAGCAGTGGATATGGAAAAAAGGGATTCCTATCAAAGAGGCTTAAAGACTGAGCATTGGAGACTGAATAACAACCACAAAAAATCAACGGTGACTCCAGAGTTTCTAGCCTGAGTGATCAGGAGGTTAAAGGTAACTTTAATTAAGCAATGAAATGCAGCAGGAGTAAGCTTTGGGAGGGAGTGACAAATTTGGTTTTAGACTCAGTGGTAGCTGTCACTTGGACATGCAGATGGAGATGTCTGTCACTTGGGAGCATACATCCTGAAGCACAGGAGAGCTGCGAGGATGGGAACACCCACTCTCCCCATTTGCCAGATTGTTCTGAGGTGTGGTGTTTGATATAGAGTTGTGCAGTATTTGAAAACTTGCAAATAACTGGTTTTTTTCCTCCCCTTAAAGATACAGCCATATGTGAATGGAGCTTTGTACAGCATCCTTTCTGTTCCATCCATCCGTGAGGAAGCAAGAGCAATGGTAAGAAAACGTGCCTGAGAAACATATGAGCTTCCTTCAGTGCCACAGTTACAGTTCAGAGCTTTTAGAGCCAGACCTCCTCGATTGGGCTCCATAGAAGGGCTGAGATCCTTTACAAACTCCTTGAAATTGTAGGCGAAATGTATATTTGCCATTTCCCGGGAGAGAGTCTGTAGCTTTTATCAGATCCTCAAGGGGATCCCTAACTCCTAAATGGTTAAAAATTAAAGTGTTAAAAAGTTCCCAGCAGGCTGACTTTTGCAAAGTTACACTCTGATGGCAACCAAATGGAAAAGATTATAAAACTGTCTAGGACTAGGTTTGGTTGGTAAATAATAAACTCAGTATTTAGTGTGTATGTTAACACTTGTATGTGAAGTAAAAAACAAACCTCAGGTGATTAGTATCTTATTTTGAAAGGACAAATGTTTCTAGATCTAATCAGCAAAACAGCTAGAGTTTTGTCCTTTTTCTTTCCACCATGTGAAACCAGGTTAACAGTGTATTAAATGCTGTTACGAAAGGCAATATATTTCCACCCTCAAAACACAGGCAAAATTCTCATTGGGACCAATAAAACATTCTTCTAATTGGTTTTGCTTACTTAGAGGAATTGCTAAATCTTCTCATTGATCATTTAAAATTACATCAAGAGTTACACCAGAAGGCGGGGTGCGGTGGCTCAAGCCTGTAATCCCAGCACTTTGGGAGGCCAAGACGGGTGAATCATGAGGTCAGGAGATCGAGACCATCCTGGCTAACACGGTGAAACCCCGTCTCTACTAAAAAATGCAAAAAACTAGCCGTGCGAGGTGGCGGACGGGACGCCTGTAGTCCCAGCTACTCGGGAGGCTGAGGCAGGAGAATGGCGTGAACCCAGGAGGCGGAGCTTGCAGTGAGCTGAGATCCGGCCACTACACTCCAGCCTGGGGGACAGAGCGAGACCCCGTCTCAAAAAAAAAAAAAAAAAAAAAAAAAACAAGAGTTACACCAGAGATGAAACTGATTTAAGAACCATTCTATGGGATCACACTAAACAATGGACCTTAATTGCCTACTGCTTTTAAATGTCACTACAGAACAGGGGGAAATAAACTTGCTGAAATTCTGCATTATGGTCATTTCAGTGAAAGAAAGGGACTCCCAACCAAGGCAATGAAGAAGAAAAAACATGTAGGCTGAAGAGAAAGAATGGAGGTAACATTCCAAGTGTGAAATGCAGCATGGAGGAAAGACACCAGGGCAAAGGGATGGAGGGGGCGGGAAGTGAAGCCGAGGACAGGGACCATGTGAGGAAGAGTCACAGTTGCAGCTTGTGAGAGAAGGACTGCCCTTAGAGATCCTAGAGCAGGGAGAAAAAAGATGGAAGAGAGGGACAGAGCTTTGGAGACCTATGTGACAACATTAGGTCTGACAGATACCCAATAGGAGTTGCAGAAGGAGAGCAATGTGAGCGAATGGGGCGGAAAAATGATTGGATAAATAATGAAGACATATGGTGAAAAATATAAAGGTAACAGTAAGGTGTCTAGGAAACCCCTAAATGTTTGGAAAATCAACAGCACACTGGTATTATCTATTACTGCATAACAATTTACCCCAAAACTTAGTGGCTTAAACGAATTTTTTGTTTTTGTTTTTGAAACAGAGTCTGGCTCTGTCACCCAGACTGGAGTACAGTGGCACAATCTTGACTCACTGCAACCTCTGCCTCCTGGGTTCAAGTGATTCTCCTGCCTCAGCCTCCCAAGCATCTGGGACTACAGGCATGCACCACCACACCCAGCTGATTTTTGTATTTTTAGTAGAGATGTGGTTTCACCATCTTGGCCAGGCTGGTCTCAAGCTCCTGACCTCGAGTGATCTATCTGCCTTAGCCTCCCAAAGCGCTGAGATTACAGACATAAGTCACTGTGCCCAGCCGATTTTTGTTTTCGTTTTTGAGACAGAGTCTTGCTCTTTTGCCCAGGCTGGAGTGCAGTGGCCTGATCACAGTGCACTGCAGCCTCCATCTCCCAGGCTCAAACCATCCTCCTGCCTCAGCTTATCCAGTAGCTGGGACTATAGGTGCGTGCCACCACAGCTAGCTGATTTTTTTAAGAGACGGGGTCTTGCCATGTTGCCCAGGCTGGTCTCAAACTACTAGGCTCACGCGATCCTCCCATCTTGGCCTCCATGCAGGGATTACATGTATGAGCCACTGAGCCTGGCCCTTGAATTTTTAAATTACAGTCATGCACCACGTAACGACATTTTGGTCAACAAAAGACTGCATATATGATAATGGTCCAATAAGATTATAATACTGTATTTTTACTGTTTCTTACCTATGTTTAGAGATGCTTAGATACACAAATACCACCTTGTTACAGTTGCCTACAGTATTCAACACAGTCACGTGCTGAACAGGTTTGTACCCTAGGATCTTATTGGCTATGCCATATAGCCTAGGTGTGTAGTAGGCTATACCATCTGGGTTTGTCACTTACTCTATGATATTTATACAATAATGACATCGTCTCACAACACATTTCTCGGAACATATCCCTATCACTAAGCTACCAATGACTGTTTCTCTGGGTCAAACATTCAAGATAGCAGAGTAGTCCTAACTAAGAGTTGCTCAGTTTATAGTTGAGACTTCAGCCTCTGCTTCCAAGCTCACTCACATGGCTGTCAGCAGGAGGCCTCAGTTTTCTTCTGGCTGTTGACTGGGGACCTCATTTGCTTCTCCTTTGGAGCTCTCCATAAGACTTCTCTTGACATGGCAGTTGGCTTCCCCTAGAATGAGTGATTTGAGAGAGAAAGTAAGCAAGACAGAAGCCCCAGTGTCTTTTAGAAAAACCTACTCTCAGAAATGAGATACCACCGCATTTATTTTCTTGGTTACACCGACCCACCCTGGTACTATGTGGAGGGGATTGAACAAGGGAGTGACTTCCAGGAGGTGGAATCACTGGGGCTGCCTTGGGGCTGGCTGCCACATACTCCTAAGTAACTGTGGGTCAAAGAAAAAAGCACAAGAGAAGTGAGGGGCTATTATTCTTTTGAAAAATACTACAAATATTTTCTCAATTTTGGTTTGTCTTTTTAAATTGTGGTAGTTGGCCAGAAGCGGTGGCTTATGCCTGTAATCCCAGCACTTTTGGAAGCCGAGGTGGGCAGATCACGAGGTCAGGAGTTTGAGACCAGCCTGGCCAACTTGGTGAAACCCTGTCTCTACTAAAAATGCAAAAATTAGCTGGGTGTGGTGACGGGCACCTGTAATTCCAGCTACTCAGGAGACTGAGGCAGGAAAATTACTTGAACCCAGGAGGCAGAGGTTGCAGTGAGCCAAGATCATGCCATTGCACTCCAGCCTGGGTGACAGAGCAAGACTCTGTCTCAAAAACTCAAACAAAAAAAAAAATCATGGTGGTTTTGGTCAAACATTAGCTTTAATGATAGCCAAATCTGTTAATATTTTCCTTTATGTCTTCTGACATGGGTTTCTAGATAGGATGTGAGTTTTTGACTTTGAAAAGGAAATGTGGATTACTTACATAAAGATGTAAGTAGATGACGGGGCATGGTGGCTCATGCCTGTAATCCCAGCACTTTGGGAGGCTGAGATAGGCAGATCACCTGAGGTCGGGAGTTTGAGACCAGCCTGGCCAACATGGAAAAACCCTGTCTCTACTAAAAATACCATAATTAGCCGGGCATAGTGGCGGACACCTGTAATCCCAGCTACTCAGGAGCCTGAGGCAGGAGAATCTCTTGAACCCGGAAGGCAGAGGTTGCAGTGAGCCGAGATCATGCCACTGCACGCCAGCCTGGGCAACAGAGTGAGACTCCATCTCAAAAAAAAAAACAAAAAACATTATGGTGGTTTTGGTCAAACATTAGCTTTAATGATAGCCAAATATGTTAATATTTTCCTTAATGGCTTCTACATAGATTTCTAGATAGGTTGTGAGTTTTTGACTTTGAAAAGGAAATGTGGATTACTTACGTAAAGATGTAAGTAGATGACAGGACACGGTGGCTCCTGCCTGTAATCCTAGCACTTTGGGAGGCTGAGGTGGGCGGATCACCTGAGGTCAGGAGTTCGAAACCAGCCTGGCCAACGTGGAGAAACCCTGTCTCTACTGAAAATACAAAAATTAGCCAGGCATGGTGGTGGACACCTGTAATCCCAGCTACTCAGGAGGCCGAGGCAGGAGAATCGCTTGAACCCGGAAGGCAGAGGTTGTAGTGAGCCGAGATCATGCTACTGGACTCCACCCTGGGCAACAGAGTGAGACTCCGTCTCAAAAAAAAAGATGTAAGTAGAATAAGCTTCCCTCTGGCATTTAACAGAGATTAAAGATATAAGCCAGGGAGGAACCCCCTTTTAGCCTGAGAAGAGGAAGCTTTTAACACATCACCTAGGCAGTTACCTACTTAATTATTTGTAAGAGTGACCTCTAAGGGATGTTCATGCCCACAATAAGGTTTTTCTAAAACCCTGAGATTTCCCTCCTTTCATGTTTATCCTTGAGGAAGTTTTTAGATTGATAAAGGCATTATATTCTCTTTGCATGTAGGTCTCACATGGGTGCATTTGTTTGGCAGAGTCTAGGTTGTGTGCCTGCACCCTAGCTGCAAGGGAGGCTAGAAATGCTGAATAATGAAGGAAATAAGACAACAAGGAAAACATTTCCCACAATCCCTCCACCTTGACATCTGCTCATGCATGGTGCTAGGGAAGTGGAGGCAGAATTGATGTCCTCAGCCCTGCTGGTATTTAGTTTTTATTTCTTTATTTCTTTGAGATGGAGTCTCGCTCTGTCACCCAGGCTGGAGCACAGTGGCGCGATCTCGGCTCACTGCAACTTCTGCCTCCCAAGTTCGAGCAATTCTCCTGCCTCAGCCTCCTGAGTAGCTGGAATTACAGGTGCCCACCACCATGCCCGGCTAATGTTTTTATTTTTAGTAGAGACAGGGTTTCACTATGTTGGCCAGGCTGGTCTCAAACT